AAAAAAAAAAAAAAAAAAAGTTCGAGCTCTTGTGCTGTGTTTGACTGCGCGCTCCAAAATGTGGCATTCAGCATACAGAGTTCTTCTTTCCCGTCATCAAGAGGATCATCGTTCCTGCTCTTGTAAGTCAAAGTGTGCCTCCAGTCTTGCAATGGAGTCAAGCACATTCTCTCCGAACCTATCAGCTTACAAGAATTGATTCATCGCAAGTCCCTTCTAAGCTAGCTTCCCCGTTTGTGCCTTCCCCAGCACCGCTACTGTACAAGTCTCATCGCCCACTCTTTGCCCCCCATCTCATCCCCTTCCACTGGACTCCTCCTCGTGGTTGCCATCGCTGCTCCCTTGCTCTGGCCTGCTTCTGCTCTTGCTCCTGCTCTTGTTCTTGTGCCTGTGTCGTCAATACCCATAGACCGCCTCCACTTTCGGCTTCAACACAACCTAAGCCATCCCATCCATCAATAACAAACTCTCCCACCCCCCTTCAATTATCATTCCCTCGACATCTCTCCTCCTTCATTCTTCCATCTTTAATCCATACCCATACCCATATCCATGCCCATAAACACATCATCGGTGTTCTCGCTAGATTGATATAGTAGACCCTTGGCGATCTCTCTGATCCGTTTCAACACTTGAGGTTACAACTGCTAGCGACGTCCCGGTGACCATTCTACGAAAGTCGATAAAGTCTAGATAGACCCGACTTCTTCTCTTCCATTCTTAATCCTCGTCTTATTTCAACACAACATAATCGCCATGCCTTACAATACGCGCCGCAAGTCGCTTTCGTTACCCAGTCTCGGCATTCACGTCCCAATGACACAAGCTGCTCGTGCTGCTGCCGCAGCCTCCAAGAGCGCCTCAAGATCGTCTTCGTCGTCTTCACCCAGTGCTGCCTCATCCGCCTTGTCATCACCCTCATCGGGTTCTGAGGCCCGCGAAGCGCATCCCAGCAAACGTCAGAAGCGATCGCATTCCGACGACATTGCCATTGAGCAGACACCACCTCCTTCACCAACACTAGATTCGAGCCTTGATTTGGATACAGCCAAGGCCAATATTGATTTCGAGGCGATCCGCGACGACATCGTCGAGGCCGTCATTGTTCAATTGCAATCTACTGGAAACCGTCCTCATCTGGTCAAAGAGCTTGCTACCGTTTTGGCCCAACGTCTTACCTCTGTGCAACAGTAAGTTTTGAGACACCATTCCCCTCAACCCCTCAGCCTTCCGTGCGCTAACATTCCGATCCCAGTTCTGCCAACCCTTGCGCCATCATCTCTTCCCGGTTGGCTTCATATGCTAAGCGAACATGCTGGACCGCCCAAAAACCGTGCCCTCTCGCCAAAGAACTCGAGAGCGTCCACCCTCGGAGGACCTACTACTTTCTCACCACTTGCCCTCGTCAACCCATCCCTGAACCTAGCTCCGCTGTGCCCTCTCTTTCCGCCCTTGACACACCTTCCGTATCGCTGACGGACGATTCTGGCTCTGATGATGTCGAAGCTCGCAGGCGCGAGCTCAGTCCCTCGCCCGAGGTCGATCTCTCGGACCATGGATTTGAGGAAGGTGACGATGAAGTCATGATGCCTGCTACCCCCATCGGCTCTCTTCCTTCTCATCATCGTTTTGTACCAAACCGTCGCAACAGTCGTCATAACTCACCGCCTCTGGAAAAAGACGAGCGGGAGTTTACACAAACGGCCGATTTCTTGCAGAAACGCAAGTTTGCCGAGGACACCCCTGCTGCTGAGACCGCCGATCGCACCACTCACACTTCCGAGTATGGATACCGCGACGACTTTTGGTTCGGTGACCACCGCATCTTCACTTCAAGTGCCTTGCTTACCAGCCCCGCGGTCAAGCCTAGCTCCATGTCAAACATGACATCAGGTCCCCGAAAAGAAGATGATGGTGAAAGCTGGTTGAAATTCAGCAAGCTTATGGAATGGGACCAAGGTGCTGAGAGCATTGAGATTGATGAGCTTGATTGCCTGCTTGACACATGTTGAGCGATCATGGCTTCCTCAGCGGATGCAAACGATCGGGGATGAATGAGATGATAATTCCGCCATGTCTGCGACGACGGATAACGACATACTTACATATTAATTGCATGGAGAGGCGCCTGTTGAGGTATTTGTACATTTAGAACAGTCTGGTGTTTTGGTTGATTGGGTTTGGGATACCAGGAAAAGGGATCATAGCATCCCCATGGTTTTGATTTATTCGGCGCAAAAAACGGATGCGCATATCGGGTTTCTAAAAATGCAATGCCGCACATATTGCTTTCAGCTTTGAATATTGTACATAATCTCATATTCTACAAACCCTTCTCACTCTCTTCATACTGGTTTTTCAAATTAACGCGTGATATTTGTTATGAGGTTTTGTCGTTGACTCGCAGTTCGATCCAAACCAAGGTGCCCATTTGGAGAATGTTGGGTCGTTCGACCTTGATGATTTCAAGGCCTGGTGTTTTGCTCGCTGCCTGTTCGACGAGGTCCTCGATGTCGCGATTCCACCAACAGCCGTACTTTTCAAAATGTTTGCCTGCATTTCGATCGAGAAGGCCGTTGACGATTCCATACCAGCCTTTACCGTGCTCAAGGAGGATGATGCGACCCGAGCCTGGCTTAACGACCTTGGCCAGGTTGTTGACGACAGCAACAGGATCAGAGACGGAACATAGACCAAATGTCTGGATGACTGTATCGTATTTCGTGGTCGCAGGGCTCGCGGGCCCGGGAATCGGATGGTGTGCATCGGAATGAATCAGTCGGAGTTGATCGTTGAGGTAGGACAGTTGCCCACCAGTATGGTCAGCCATAGTCGATGCGCGGACGATGGGAGCGGACGACTCCATGGGGGGAACGGTCTTGACAAGGCGTTTTCGAGCTACATCCAGCATATCGACCGAGATATCGAGACCAGTGAATGACAAGACCCCTCGAGGGATCTTACCGCCGACTTTGCTGAGTTTACCCTCCACGCGCTTGTTAAGTGGCTCCCAGTTGAAGTATTCCAAGTTACGACCAGTGCCCATAGCCAGCTCCAGTACATGCCCGTCCGCGTGCTCTGCTATACGCTTTCGTAGCTTCGTGATACCCATCCACCATTCGGGAAGAGTGAGCTCCTTATCGAATTGCTCTGCATTATCGCCATCGAGGGCTGGTGGTCGGCCGGTCGGGGTAGAGTGTTCGCATGCGCCGCTGCAAGGTGTCGCTTTGAAGGATGCGGCAGCTGTACCGAATATGTAGAAACCGAGTGCGCCAGCGAGTAGAGCTGCTCCTGTCAGAGGAAGCCATGTTGCACGCCAGAGATCGAGGAGGGTTTCGGCTTGTTTGGGAGCTGTCGAGGATGTAGAGGACGAGGATGAGGATGAGGTCGGAGAAGCTTTTGTAAGATGTTGAGGTCGAGGTTGACTGGACGTGGCGTATTAGTATGCTCGCTTTGGAATATCGCATATGTATCAGAAGCTGTACGGTTTGTATGTCTTCGAGACCTTTGGTGGGGGTCGAGATGCTGGTTGTGTCTTGATATGAGGGCGGGGAGTTCGAGGTGTAGAGCTCGCAAAACGGCATTGGGTGCGGAAGGCTCTCATCGTGAGGCCTCGGGCAGGGTCGATCATGACGACGGTATTTCCATGGATATTGTAATGGTGTGTACTATGTGAGGCGTTGGGCGGGAATTTGAAGCTGTCTTGATGAGGTTTTACATGTGGAAGTGAATGGAAAATACGTTTACAGGCAGGGTTTCGTTTCGTGGAGCGGGTCTGATCCATTAGGCAGGTGGGTCCGATCTCTGGGGGAGCATTCATCATATCGCGGAGCGAGCGTTGACGGTTAATAGATAGCTTAGGACTTACAACATCTACATTTGACTGACTAGGTCCTGTCGATTAACTGACACATAGGATCTGAAGAGTGTCTCACAAACAACTAGTCCTTATTTGAGATCTATTCTCTACAAAAAAGAGATGGCTACACAAAATGACCTTCAGGAGCTCATACGCCTACTCACGGCGCGTAAAGTGTCCATGATGGCAGCAATGGGTCAAGTAAAAGCCCTTCAATCAAAGAATCTTAGAAGGTAATGTTCATTTAAACTCCCATACTCCTTCCTAGACTAATGTGTATGTAACAGCATTGCTCAAATTGCTGAAGCCCCTTTGACTACAATCGAGGAAGCCCTTGGCGATGCTAAGACGGCAAAGAGTCTACACACCGCGTGCAAGAGCCACGAAAAGAAGAGTGGTACCAAGCGTGCAGCAGAAGATGGATCTGCTACTACCACTGAGGCAAAGAAACCAAAAATTGAAGCCCATCGACGAGATCTGGATTACAGTGCAATGTCTGGAGATGATCTTGAAGCAGCACTGGAGTTACCCCTCGAGGAAGACGAGGACATTATTCGCAACACCACCGTCATCACAAACAGAGCACCATTATTCTTGGCGTTTGCCGTCGAATTATTGAGATTCACCATGCCGGAACAGCCTCCGAGTAGTCGGCTGAGCCTCGCCCAAGCGGTCGTGAGCGCTAATTCACGAACAAAAGCTGTAAGTATAGGTATTGAAAAAACTCCTCCAGGTGGCCAAGAAAAAGCCCCCGAGGGACAACCAAAGATTACAATTATGAACCGTGCCGTTCCGGTTCTCAAACGAAGCGGATACACCTGGTCAGGTTCTTCTCAACCTACGTCGTCCACCGCTTCCTCAGCAACCCTTCGAGGCAGTCAACCGAACCCGAAAGGCTGGACCGCAAGTCAAAAGTTGTCTTCGAGAGGGTCTGTGTTCATAGCCCATGCGACACCTATAAGCTCACCTTCTACACGCGGAACAGTCTTCAAATCTTTGATGGCGGAGAAACCAGAACTTGAGACTGCAACACACAACGCCTGGGCTATCCGAACCAGCTATGGAAACTCGCCTCTCAAGCAAGAAGCTTCTTTTGATGATGGTGAATCGGGATGTGGAAACTTTTTGCTTCAACAACTACGTGATCTTGATATCAGCAACACGCTTGTTGTGCTTACGAGATGGTATGGTGGTGTCATGCTCGGCCCGGATCGCTGGAGACTCATGAGAGAATGTCTCAACGACGCTCTATCATCGCAGAAGCGTACATCTAGTCTTAACGGCGAACCTGTCTGGGCTCTTGATCTAGAAGACAAGAACCCATCAACTTCGACCGTGGGTATGCCAATCCACCGACCAGAAGGCGCACGAAACTATATACTACGAGCTTTTGCGCCGGTTGAAGATAGCGGGAAGAAGACAGTTACAGCAGCAAATGAAGAGAAACATGAGAATCTAGGCCGTGTTCTTGGTGCATTACGACTCCTGTTTGCAAGCTGGGCCAGTACTCTGGGCCACGATGAGTTAGACAAGCGAGCGTGGACTTGGTATATCAATCTTCGGCCAGATGTCGATGCTGGCCCTGCAGGGTGGGGAGCCAAGGGGACTTTGAATCTGGGAAAGATATTAGATTTGAGGAGGAAAGAGAGTACATGACGTGCGTGTGCTTTGGTCAGGTAAAGACAAAACTCTCGGAAGGATGCAAGGAACTTCTACCTCAGAAACTCGGTCAATTGGCTCTCTTGAGTGAGGCCATAGTTCATTATTCTGAAACATCAATAAATGAATGAGTGTAATACAAGAGGAGGGGGAGCGGATGACAAACATGCAGTTCACTTTTGGGTTGCTCCAGAGATACGAGATACGACAAACTTCATGTAGAGGCGATATGTCAAACATGGCTAGATTGTTGAGTGTATACATGTCGTAGTTAGGAATCATAAATTGAACAACGACTTGATATACAGGACCCCTTGTTTGTGTCGAGTCAAAGCTACTCGGTAACTCCTTCAAATACCACGGTGATATTACAGAATCGTCTTAGATGAAATACCAGGTGCTGGGTATGGGTAGTTCACCACAGTACGTAGATTTATATCGACCTTAAGTACAACCCGGATAGATACTAAGTTAACAATCACGCCAATGGCCATGAGTTCGGGTTCGGATGGAGAGACGCTGTCCGAACCTTGATAATATATATGCATCGAGGTTCAGCCTGTCTACAGCTCCGTATCTGAAGTACACGAAATTAAGCTTTGGGACCACCGAAAGCAGAGTGATTTGGATCCAATAAGAAGTCCATCCACAGACTCGGCTCTTTACAGTTTATATCTGAGCATAAACGTACCGGATGTTTGGTGACAGTTGGCGTATTTGCATTTCTTTGACCAAGCAACATGGACTGAATACGCCAAATTGCGGACCCGCCGCTGACAAACCTCTCCTTCAAGTAATGAACGAAGAACAGCCTGGTTTGACATTCATTTTCACTATAGATTAACCTGAGGAATTCTTTAGTCGACGAGTGTGAAAAGGAGAATGATAGCTATAGCTTACCGAGCTGGAGTGTATAGGCTCTGAAGCAAAACCTTCTTCCATCAAACAATTCATCAAGGCGCAGTGGCAGAGTGGTCTAATGCGATAGACTAGAAATCTATTCTCTTCGGAGGCGTCTGTTCGAATCAGGCCTGCGTCGAATTCACTTTTTGCATCCTCGTTGCTCCTCATACAGTCAAGTAGTATGTATGTGTGGTCAATGCCAGTTGGTTCGCCTATCTTCTTTTGCCAGTTACAGAAGTTGGTTCACTGTGACTTGTACTCTGTCAGTTGACATTAAATGTTGCTGGGTGGATATATTCATGTCTGATCAATTGACTTTGACGAAGCAGAGCAGTATAAGTCAAAGCGTCTTAATCGTGTCTCTCCTCAAAAACAAGAAATTGTTTGCTGCCCTATCTATACATGTCAAAACCAGGTTTATGATCATTCCGAAGAATGTATTTCTTTGAACTACCCCGAGACAAAGAAACGCGACCAAGACGCGTACAGTAGCGTAGTTAAGCTTCATAGTGCCCGTCTCCCCGAGACCTAAAGAAGCAAGAGGTGTTCGCAGATTTAATTGAGGTTTAGCTGATTCTCACCAATGGACAGCCAGAACTTCAGTGTTAAGCAGATTGAGCTAAAAGAACCGAGGCGCCATTGGATGGCTGTTACCTGCAGACCTGATCGCTACAGGGGGGTCGTTCTGGAGATTTACTGATGCTGACCACTAACACGAACCAGTCCGTGGGACCTGACTGATAGTAGCCGGAACCGCGCCAACAAACCAAACAAATACGGCCTGCCCAATCTCGTCCAAAAGTAAACATTGGATATCGGACTGCACCTGGTAATCTCCATTCGTCCATCGCAAGCCAGGAACATCGGCACTGCCATCTGCGCAACGCCCGCCACAAAGCCAAAGCCATCCATACGAGACAACTGCTATCAACATCACCGTCTTCGAACTTGTCCTCTCTCTCTCGCTCTCTCACTTTCTCACTTTCTCTTCGTATAATACGAAGCCATCCAAAAAGCCCTTGCATTAGCTGGCGTCAAGTTTTCTTTGTTCTGTTTCATCTTCTTTGCGCTGTTCTGTTCTGCTCTATTCTGATTTATAGACCTGAGCGTTTTCGTACTGGACTTGGACCCTTTTTCTTTCTTCTGCCTCCCCCGCCATTCTTCTTCCTCTTCTCCCCCACCATCGGCGGAACCTCTTTTTCTTTGGTCACCGACAAGCAAAGATAGTCTCAACTCCAAGACATTTTCCTCTTTGCTGCCCGAGCAACTCGAGCCTGGCTCCTTTCCCGAAGTTTCACGATTGATGATCGCATAACGAGACGAGACAAGACAAAGACAAGATACGAGACAAGATACCCACTGCGCAATCTCGATTCCTGCTTGACGTCCGGTGACTTGCATCACCGCAACTTAAAACCCTAGAGCTCTGCTTTACAGCTGCAGCTACAGCTACCACTATCCACGCCGCCGACGCAGTGTCTCTCGCTTAGATACTCTCAGGACGACTCGCGCATTTCGCCCTTTCTTCAACTCGACCATCGATTTGCGATAGCTTCTTTGAAACGCATTGACGAACCATGGAGAATTATCAGAAGCTGGAGAAGATTGGTGAAGGTACGTGTGCTTTTCCATTCTAAGCCGCACCCTGAAGCTTTTACGGATCACCAGCTCTTTTCTTCTTCTTTTCTGTCAGTCTATTATTCTGACGTTTTTCAGGTACCTACGGTGTCGTCTACAAAGCTCGAGACCTCACCAATGGCGGCCGAATTGTCGCCCTGAAGAAAATCCGCCTCGAAGCTGAAGATGAAGGCGTTCCAAGCACCGCCATTCGCGAAATCTCTCTCCTCAAGGAAATGCGGGATCCCAACATTGTCCGCCTATTCAACATTGTTCATGCCGATGGTCACAAGCTGTACCTCGTTTTCGAGTTTCTCGATCTAGATCTCAAGAAGTACATGGAGTCTCTCCCCGTTAGCGACGGTGGTCGAGGCAAGGCCTTACCAGATGGTTCATCGCCGTACTTGCAGCACCTAGGCCTCGGCGACATGGTTGTTCGCAAATTCATGTACCAACTCTGTGACGGTGTGAAGTACTGCCACTCCCACCGCGTCCTCCACCGTGATCTCAAGCCCCAGAATCTCCTAATTGACAAGGAAGGTAACCTGAAGCTCGCTGATTTCGGACTTGCCCGAGCTTTTGGTGTGCCTCTGCGCACATACACTCACGAAGTCGTTACTCTGTGGTACCGAGCCCCTGAAATTCTCCTGGGAGGCCGTCAATACTCGACTGGTGTCGATATGTGGTCCGTTGGCTGTATTTTTGCTGAAATGTGCACGCGGAAGCCTCTTTTCCCTGGTGACTCGGAAATTGACGAGATATTCAAGATCTTCCGGTAAGGGATGTGTGCATACAAGATTTGTTCCAAGGCAACTGACAATTTCCTAGCACTCTCGGTACGCCCTCTGAAGAGGGCTGGCCAGGTGTTACATCTTACCCAGACTTTAAGGCATCCTTCCCCAAGTGGCAACGCAACTACAGCAATCCTCTGTGCAGCAACCTTGACGAACACGGTCTCGAATTGCTTGAGATGATGTTAGTCTACGACCCTGCAGGGCGTATCTCGGCCAAGGGAGCCTTCAATCACCCTTACTTCGAACCGCTTCTGGCACAGGAGCAGGCATCTGCTCAGGCGAATGGCTATTATCACTAGGTGGGATACGGAGCTCCATATCAGATGATGCAGATGCAAATGCACTAGACTTGCCCCGCCGGCGGGCTAGTCAGGCAGTGGAAGCAGTAATAGCTTTCAGGAATCCTTTGACTGATCAATGCTAAAGGGGAGGTACGGACACGATAATGACAGTCGTCGAGTTTCCAGTTGACTCCGTGCCGTTGGATGCCTCTTGGCTCGGACTACGCTTCGATTGGCCTTGGTAAACTTAACCTTACAACTTGCTAGACGATTCCCAATAATCGCACCAGGCATTCTGGCCAACATGACTGGCGAGTTGTGCTATGGGGTCGAAAGTTGTTGGGCCTAGTCAGCTAACGGGGGCGGTGATGTGGATTCGATATGACAGAGAACGGGGATAGAATCAACAAGCAATTGCCTGTCTTTTAAGGCGTTTGGGATGGCAAAGAGAGGACACGCTAAGGCAGGTTCCCAGGAAGGGTGGCTAATCTTCATTCGTATGGCTTTGAATTTGAATGTGCTTTGTAGACGGTAGGACTCAGCGTGCGGTTTGATATCCGGTGTGTATTACAAGGCAGGACAATTGATTAAATCTTCTACGTATGACAATGGCCATTGTGTCTCGCCCTTCTCACTAATTTGTGATCGTGGAGCTGTGTTGTAAGACCAACTGCATATGGGGTAGGTATGGGATGAATGGCCAGCATCGGTTACATAGTGACAATTCACATGAAGCTGGGCGATTGTTGAGAAAGGAAATGGCCGGCCAGATCCTACGACCTACCACGACACAGCCTCTCGGATGGGGTTTGAGATGTTTACCGAAGACCCGGGACGAACCAGGCCGGATGATCAGGACCAGCCAGTCGTATCGACCGTAAAGGATTGTGCGTGTCGCCTTCGTAACCAACAACTTGTTGGTCTCGATCATCTTGGCATGATTGCACTGCCACGAAGAAGATAGAAAGGACAGTTCTCGTAGTGAATACTAAACGGCGTCTAGTAGTGTCGAAATAGAGCATATAGACGCCCGTAACTAATATGGATCGCCCAGACCGCGGCTCCATCTAAACAACCGCCAGTACTACAGTACAAATCTATTCCGGTAACTACTCTATTCTTGTCAGGTCCGGTAAGGTCCATGTCCTGCTTGGTTCGTTAGGCGCCTGGTAATGACAGCGAGCCAGGGTCTGTTATGAAACGCGGCGCTTAGAGGAGCATGGTAAGCGCTCTCATCTGGGGTGCAGGGTAGATGATGGAGTACTGAGTTTCATCTGTAGTGAAAGGCGTGTCAATCATTTTTGAAACGTCTGAGGCGAACGTTGAAACTGTGTTATCTTTCTTGGTATTGTTTTTCATGCATCACAGAGTATTGGTTACGTTTGCCTGTTGGTTTTGCGCCGATATTGGGAGGCATCCAAGAGAAGAAAATTGATAGCCGAGAGGCAACACAGTCACGATGAACACCATTGTAACGAAAGCCCTGTAAACTAACTCCACAAACAAAGCATCGCGAGAACCGTTGAGCTATGTCATTCATCATGCATCAAACTTAAAGACCCCTACAATGCTGAGTTATCATGCTGTTCAGGCGATCATGAGCGGCAGTGCACAGCTCGACCGGGGTTTGAGAGCGGGAAGCGCCAATCCCGCGGCTTCAACCGAGGTTCTGGATGAAAAGTGGAGACTTGGAGCAGAGGCAGCCCGGGACTCGGGTGGGGCTCGCCCGGACCGACCGATCGACCGGAGCGGAAGAAGAAAGCATCGGACGCAACCACGGAGGATCCCAAATAAAGATAGACATAGACATAGACAAGGGTAAATACTATATTTCAGTTAACTGATGGTTAAAAGTAGATCCAGCAGGGAAAATACGAGTCGATGGTAGGGATTCTAAGGATAACCCACCCAACACGAACACTGTAGATTCACTCAACTGCCAACTGCAAGGATACTGCGGGTTTGCATTAAATGTTCTACACCGCAATATACCACCAAGAGTCACCCATTGGGCTCTTTCTGTATTGCCTCCCGATCACGGCCCCAATCCAAGGCATTAGTTTACGATTTAGTTAACGTGTTCCCCGCATCGTCACAAGCTGGGTAGTTTGATGTTGGGCATGAGGCTAGGACCAACCCAACCACGCGGACATGCTGGCCAAGGCCAAGGTCATGAGATGTTCCACTCTTTGCAGCCACTTCTTTGCTATTGCTGGGAAAGATCCTTGAATTCAGGAATGGCAATGTTTTGATCCTTGAACTCACTCATGATAGGTTCAGGATCAAGTGATGACCACGACAGTCCTGCTTTTGTTGTGCTGTAAAGTTTTGCTCTGTTCTGTACAGTATCGTGTCGTCCTGTCTTGTATCGTATTCAGCTGGTTGAGGTTAGTGGATACATGAGCTGTACGCATGAGTGTGAGTGGAGGACATGTCACGAACTAGCCTACCAACTCCTCGTGTCTACTTAGCTAAACTCAAGATCTAGACAAAAACCAGGAGAATACTAGCAACTGTGGACTTGGGACCGCTGCGAATAGCTGCATATACCGAAACCAGCCAAAGGTTAGACCGTTTGACTTGAGGTTAAGTGACTGCAGGCTCCGAAAGCGGTCGGACCAGTACGTGTCGGCGTCGCCACATGCCTCTTCCGGTGCTTGAGCCACACTTGCTCTGCGTAAACAGTGACAGCGAATGCATCAGCCACATCTCGAAAGCAAAAACTCAAACTCTTTTGCAGGGGAGAACGAGTCAGAGCCACGCGTTGGGTGGGAGGGCCTTTGACATGCAGGCGTCAGGGATGTGCATGCAGGGCTGACCAATAAGAGGACTAGTTACCGAAGAGATCTTGGGGGCGTGCGACTCGATGGCTTCGTGCAGGTGCGCTACTGGCTTAGCTGGCTCAGGGGTCAGTGGCCAGGGGTCAGGATCAGGGGCTAAGGACCTTCAGCAGCAGAGAGTTGGTTGTTGACTATCGTGAGAGGATGGATGGATGAATGACTCTACGTGTGCTGTCAGTGGTTGACCTTGATTCATGCTATGCCTCCGACCAAGATTGACCCAACGCCTCCAACAGTCGGTGAAGCAGAGTTTTACAACCAGAGAAGTCATGTTGAACAATGTGGTGATATTGACCTGTCACTTGAGTTGAAGTCTTGGAGATAGAGCCATAAAGTCAATCAGTCCACTTGCTGCAACAGATCTCGCGATATACTCAGATGATCACCACGTCTTCGATCGTGGATGCCCTCATGGCAAATGCGACCAGAAATGCATTCAGCAGACTAACTCTTCTCGGCCTGCTGAGAGTTGATAGCCAAGTCGAGATTTGCTTCTTGCTGTTTAATGGCGATGTGCACTATAGATCACTGTAAGGCTCCTGTGATGAAGATCCTAGTTGAGCTTGACTTCGAAATCGTGAATAGAGATCTCCAGGGCAGGACTGGATTGAACAGGACAAGGGGTGGGGTGGTCTATCAGTGCAGGGGCCATTCGACTGGTATGCAGATGCCAACCATTTGATGACCTCTTTCTTGTTTGAATGGACGTTTTTGTTAGTAGAGCAGCTGTATAAGGTTTCGTACCTATTTGCTGTTGATCGGTTGCCCTGAACAAGTCTATCGATTGGGTTTTGCTCCTCTATCCAGGGCAGGAGAAGAAGAGGAGATGAGATAAGGTACGGTGCTGTATCAGCTGGGCTTGCCTCCCTCGCGTGAGGTTCAACGGGAACCATTGGCGGTGATGCCCACCCTTTTACAGGCGCATTCCTCGAAAGGGCTGCTCCCGAGTTGAGCTAGTGGCGTCTGTCGACACACGAGATGCAGCTCATTGCGGTGCAGGGGGAGTCTTTTAGTGTCTGACAGGGGACAGAGAGTCCCAGAGAGGCAGTAACTGGACGGAACTATCTGTATGGACTGAGACATGATGGCAGCATGATTACCTTTGTGTTTGATCCTCACGGACAATCACAATGGGCCAAGGGATGAAACGGTCAATTGCCGTTCAGTTCAGTTGATGGCTGATAGCGTCAGGTGAAGGAGGTTGGTGATTGATCTACTTCATCACCAGCCTGCACCAACAACTGTAAGGGATGAAATATGATCTGCAGTTTGTTAACGGTGGTTATTCTCCTTTTCCTTTGCATTACCCCGCAGTCTGTGTTGAAGACAGTCGAGGCTCGGAATGCAGAGGACGAGATGAGTCTATAGCGGACTGGCCGCTGTAGGTTGATGGATCCCTCATGACCCATGGATCCGTGCCAAGACCAAGTTTATCAAGCATTGCATGCACTGCTGTATCTAGCCGTTTGGATATCTTTTTTTTTTTCTTTCTCGAGTCCAATGTCGTCTTGGCAAACATGCCTGTCATCACCGTGGCTGATGTTCCGAACGCCATCGGCCTTTCGATGAAGCCATCGTCAAGGGGAAGATCAGCAAGAAAAAGCAACGGTCAGTGATGGGATTTGGACAGGAATGTGATTCACTGGACGGTCAACAACAGATGGTACCTTAGTAAGTGCACAGTCAGTACTACTCTTAACGCCTCGTCCGCTTTCCGTCTTGTCTAGGCTCTGGACCTGAACCAAGAGCTCGGTTCTACAACGAGGCGCCACGGTTAGGAAGTTAATTGGAATTATCGCGGACAGCATAGCAAACAAGTTGAAAATGGTCTGACAGTAAATTTCGACCATCTATCCATCAACACACAGACCAGTTCCGAAAACGTGGACGCATTGGCCTTCTTTACCAATGAAGGCGTTAAAATCACGATCCTCGGTATTTTCAAGGCACGAGGTGGTGGTCCGTTCCAGGCTGCTGGGATCATTAGTAGTGAAGTAAGGAAATATACCGGGCTGACAGAAGCGGTGATGGGGAAAAGAAAAATGCGCTGGCGTTTGTGTTTGTGTTTCCGCTGGCTTCGCTTCTTCAGGACGATGGGGGCCATAATTCATGGAGATATCGGGTAACTGTGTCGCAGGCCAGCTCGTCTTGGCAGTCTCACAATTTTTGCTTTTCTGC